GGCTGTTTGCCTCCCCTCCTTGCTGAAGCCAATGGCCCCTGCAGCCGCTGTGAGTCTGCCACATCCATCACCTCTTCTGCTGGTACAAGTGCTGCTAGTGCTGGTGCCACTGCCACCACGCGAGTGCCACCAACTCTGCTGGCTGGGCTCACCGCTGCTGCCACATCACCAGAGCCACCGCCACACTCAACGCGGCAGGGAAGCGGCGTGGGTGCCGCGGAGGGGTCGGAGCGTCTGTGTGATGTCTGCTCAAGTCCACTCAGTTTAGAAGCAGACGAGGCGCAGCGTGAGTGACGCGGCACAGGGATGTATTCACAGTCACCCTCCCCAAGTGCAGCTTCACTCCGGACTCTCCTGGGACTTCCAGGAGGGTTTACTTGGTCCCTAGGGCACAGATTCCTGGAAAGGCCTGTTCCCGACCAGTCTAAATCCTCCCTGGAGATGGCAGAGGCCATGCTGGGGCCTGCCTCTGGTCCCCACCCTTCTCCTGCCACATCCTTGGCATAACTGCTTATCTTTCTTTGTTCTGCTACTAGGACTCTCACAGGTGATTGGGGTCCAACTCTGAAAATGCAACAAGATCTCACGGCATGCATTTGCAAACTAACCTTACCCTGGACTTTCCCTATTTTCCTCTCAGTTCTGATGTTTTTGTTATTATTTTGTGTATGTCTGAAAGTCTATTTTTGGAATGAGACAGGAAGTTATAAAAGTAAAGGGAAATAAATGAATTACAAATGAATACATATGTACCTTTTCTAAAAATATATATATTTTTTCCAAAGTTGGTGATTTTTATTTTCTGCAGACTTCAAACAAGCAGAAAACCTTGGTGAAATGACTAGGTAGTTTCAATGAAAAACAGGACACTCTCAGGAAGCTTTTCTCACATGCTCTGCGGAAGGACTGTGCACCTCCTTGCCTTCAAAAACTGACGTTAAAGACCACTGCTAGGCATGGCTGGCGCTGGGCAAAGCTGGGCATGCAGGACGCCAGCTCTTCCTGACCTTCCATCTCATCAGCCCAGATCCTTTCTTAAGGATCTGGCACCCAGCCTTCCATGCCGCCCTGGGTGGCTCATCCAGAAGGATTCCTGTTAAGGCTTTACTGTTAATAACTCCACGCTGCACAGTCAGAGGGATCGAATGGCCACACAGGCAGACCGCCTATTTAATTTGCAGGGCATAATACAAAACAAAAATGTAGAACCTCTGTTCGAGCTATTAATTTCACGGGTCAGCCTAATAGCCTGGTGGTTAAGAGAACTGGATCCCATGGGGCCAGTAGGTGGCATGGTGGTTAAGGGCACTGGACTTCCACGTGGCTGACCATGGTTCAAGTCTCAGACCTGGCAGCTTGCTTTCTCACTTTCTCTCTCTCTCTCTCTCTCTCTCTCTCTCTCGCTCTGTCCCTCTCTGATCAAATGAGAATAAATAAATGAATGAATAAAGTTAAATAAAATGATTCTTTAAAAAGGGGGGGGCCAGCAGGCAGCATAGTGGGTTAAGGTGCTGGATACTACCACATGGTTGACCATGGTTTGAGTCCTGAACCTGGTGGTTTGCTATCTCACTTTCCCTTTCTGTTGCTCTCTCTGTCTCTCTCTCTCTCTGGTCAAATTAAAAATAAATAAATGAATAATTAAAATTAAATAAATAATTCTTTTAACAAATTAAAAAGAGAGAGAGAGCCAGATCCCACATGGCCAACTGACTGGTTCGAGTCCCACCCCCAGCGACGTGACAAACATGCCCAGCCCAAACCGAAAGCACGGGAGAAGACAGGAGGGATTGCAGCATGGCTATGCCCTAGTTGGGGGTTGCTTCCTCCCTCTTCCTCCCTCTCTCTCTCTGTCTCTTGGTCTGTCTATGGTGAGCACATGCATTCTCTGGCAAAAAAAAAGAAAAGAAAAAAAAAATTTCAAGATGGCAGTGGCAGCATATTAAACCATGTGTGAGTCTTTGCATGATAGCCCAGCTCACGCCCAAGCTAGCTAGTCCTGCACCCAGGATACACAAAGACATACTTAAGAAAATTATTTTTATAAATAACCACAGATTATGATTTTTATGGAAAAACACTAAATATTTGCAAATTTTTAAACAGAGACAGAGAGAGACGCAGAGACAGAAAGAAAGAAGTCACACACACCACACACACACACACACACACCCCGGGGGGATGGCCACGCCGCAATCCCTTCTCCTCCATTCTCCTCTCAGGATCTTGGGCACGCACGCACATGCACCCGGCGTGAGTTATAAGCCACCAGGTCCAGGACTCAAACTGCAGTTGACTACATGGGAGTCCAGTGATGTAACCATTACGCCATCTACTGGTCCCTTATTTGCAGATATTTTTAAAATATAACAGAAAACCTCAAGGACATTCCATTCTTCCAGGAGTACCAGATGACTCAGCTCCACAGTTTGGACAAGGTAGGTGAAGCACTGTGAGAAGCACTAGGTAAGCTTTCACCACGCTTCCATCTGCACCTGCTCACCTGGCCAGAACTGTGCCTGGTAAGAGAGGTTTGGAAGGGTAGGACATAAGATTGCCATGGCCATGAGAGGGCCTCGGAGGATGGGCAGGATTAGCGAGGACGAGAGGAAAAATCCCAGGAAGGGGAGAAAAGGAACGAAGAGAGGAGAGCAAGCGGTGTGTGGTCAGAGGCCAGGAAGGTCAACAGGGCAGCTGAGGTGGCTCCCTTAGAGCCACGGATTACTTCAGAAAAACAGATACAAACCTGGCGGGTTTAAAGCTCTAGA